GTTAAGGTTTTACAAAATGTTACCAATTTGTTTAAACCTATCTAAATGGTTATATGCCAAAAAAATTGAAAAAACATGAAAGCATAATGATTCTTGTAATCGACCAAAATAATTATGAAGTTAATGATACGATAAGTACTTGAGATCAAATCGGAGGAAAACAGTTAATCGATAACAAGAAATGATTTGGGGGATTCTAGACCGCCAACTACAATACTCTGAAGTTGTTTTATTGGAGATCCGAGAGAAAGATATACAATCTAGAAAGTGTCCGATCGCATGTTCGAAGACCTCCCTTCAAATCGTTGAGCTGATGGGAAAACCAACAAAACAAGATCCGATTCTTTGCCGGAACCACTCAAGCTATTTGGAGTCAAAGTGCTCAAGTTTAAATAAGTGTCACATCGCCACGCACAAAAACAGTTTTAAACTCGTTGATGAGTCGATGGAAAAACCAACAAACCTAGACCCCACGATTTAAAGCAAACCACAAAAACCACAATTTAAAAATTATTCATATAAATATTTAAATTTTAATTAGTAATCAATTAATCTTTAACAAATTCTAAATCCACAAAACTAAACTTGAATACAACATAGTTAATATAAACATAAAGATATATTAAGTAAATAATTTTGAAAAAGTAACATTTTTTTTTAAAATGACATTATTAAAAAGTGGTTTCAAAAATAGCATTTTCAAAAAATTAATGAAACGAGATTTTTTAACCAAAACTGAAGATCAATATTTGTTCTGAATACTGTGGAGTGAAAAATCCGTAGAAATGTTCTTTCACCACAAGGACAAACTATTAATTACAATATATAGAAACAAAAGTAAAAAAGCATCCAATACAACAAAACACAACGCATTAAAAAATGGAAAAATTGCAAAAATACCATTTTTATATGTATATTTACAAAAATGCCATTTATAAGTATTCATTTGCAAAAATACCACTTAGGAGTGTTCATTTGCAAAAATGCCACTAATTATACATTTTTAAACCCTATATATTAAAATTCTAAACACTAAAAAATGTTTTGACCCCTAAACCCCCCCTAAACCCTCATAACTAAACCATAATAAAACATAGTTAACCCAAACATAAATAATATAAATAATTTTTTTTTTGAAAAAGTGGCATTTTTGTAAAGATTTCAAAACTGTGGCATTTTTGTAAAGTGGCACTTGAAAAGTGGCATTTTTTGAAATTTCACATAGAAAATAAGTTAATTAGTTTGATATTAGTTTTGAGGTAAATAACTAGAAAACTAACATATGCATAATAAAATTTAGATTTATAGCAGAAATAATGAAAAATGGACAAAATTGCCCCTGCAAAAATTTATAAAGAAAAGTGATAAAAAATCAGATCAAATC